GCATGTAAACAAATATTTGGGACACACATTTGTGCATGTAATTCTGCGTATGTGCATGTGTGTGAGGATGTAGAGGGAGGAACCCTGCTTGAAGGCAAACTATCTCCCAGCCCCCACATGTTTTTAGTACGAGTGACACAGAGAGCCAAGGCCACGCTGTTTGGTGATGCTCGTCTCACAGATGGAGCACGGTAACACAACAGCAGAGCAGTTCCTTTCCAGGGCAGACTTTTCACAAAATATTTGCTGTAAGTCACACAGACAGGCTGGGTCAAGTCTAGGTCACCCCTCAGAGACTGGTAGATTAGCCCAAGGCTCAGATGCCTTGAGTCAAGTTCTAAGTAACTGTCAAGTTACATGTAATATTCTCCTAGGAGCCTGTGTTTGAGCTACTGAGTATTTCTTTTTGGAAAAACAAGAAAACTGGAAGCAAATAGAATGGCAACACAAACTGAGAAAACTTAGAGTATCATAGTTTTAAAAAAAGTGGAAAGGTGGTATTTGACAAATGTAACAAAAATAATTAGTTTCTAAACAATGATACATTTTAAATAAATTGTCGGCATAAAAAGACTTTGTGTTTGTTAAGCTATACAGACACACATGGGTTACATGTGAATTAGATAAAATAGCATTGTGGTGGCTCATATATTCCAATGCTCGGTCACCAGGGAGTGGAACTGTTTGATTGGATTAGAAGGATCAGGAGGTGTGGTCTTGCTGGGGAAAATACATCACTGGGGGTGGGCCCAGTCTCTTTCCCTGCTGCGTGTGGATCGTGTGGATTGAGACATGGAACTCTCAACTTCTCTACCCCACATCAGCCTGCCATGATGCTAATGGGCTAACCCTCTGTAAACAAGGCCCCAATTAAGTGTTTTCTTTTATAAGAACTGACTTGGCTATGGTGTCTCTTCCCAGCAATAGGACAGTGACTAAGACAGGCACAGTGCTCATCAGGTGTCAGTGAAAATAAAATAATATGCCTGTTCTACTTCATCCCTCTGCTGTGTCAATTTCTACCCAAATCAACATGGGGGGTGAGAGAGTTTATGTCATCTTGCATTTCCCGGTCACTGTCAGGGTCTCTCAGCACCTGCCACTGCCCGCAACAGGCACCAGATGGAGCCTATCAGCAGTGACCATGGGCAAGGAGAGGCTCACTCGGCCCTGCCCTCCCCTGCTGAGTTTCCAGCTACTAATGGACTGTGGGAGATGGAAAGGCACTGTCTTCAGTCACACAGCCACTGATGAGCCCATCAGGCTCCAAGAAGTAATTTGAAAGTCATGGTCACATAGATGGCCATGCTTAAACTCAGAAAGTCACAAAATTAAAAAAAAAAAAAAGATATGAATGTGGAAAAAGGAACTGGAGGGATGGGGAGTCGAAGGGCTGGCAAGGACTCAAAAATAATAAAGGCAGTGGATGACCCACACAACACGAAGTCAACGGTATTCTCGTAAATTTTTATTTCATATTTCTTTGTTTAGGTTTTTCCCCCTTCCTGGTCTTTTACTGACATGCTAGGGTTTCTGATTTTGTGCTTTTATGGTTTTGTGTGGGTAAGTGGATATGGGAGTGAGGTGCTGGTGTTTTTTGAGCTTTTCCCTTTGTTTTTTGTTTTTTTTTAATTCTGGTTTGTTTTTATTTGCCTGTTTGTTTCTAAAAGGGAGAGAGAGAAGGACAGAGAAGGTGAGGAGGAGGATATGGGAGGATTTGATGAAGAAAAAACAGTGATCAGAATATAGTGTATGAAAAAATTCTTTTTTGAGTCAATAAAGAAAGTTTTAAAAGCACAGTTGTATTTGACAGAAGCTGGTTTTATAATTTGTATCAGTCACTTTTCAGAATGGTGGGTCTATCTGCCCTGGCAATCAGTGTGAAAAACTGACCAGCCATGGTAGTGTGGTGTTGGTGCTCCCTCCTAATGAATCATCATTCATACAGAATAAAGAAATCATTTTCTGTTCGTGGAAAAGGTGTTCACAATGCTACGAATCCTCAAACTGTAGCAAAACACATCAGGTCAGCTCCTAACCCGTACTGTAATAGAATTTCATGATAGCTACTGACACAGGAAGCCATACACCCTATAGACACATGAGGGTTGGGAGCCAACATCCTGTGTCCAAAGGCAAAGCATCCTCATGTTTTTATATGGAGAAGTAAAATTGTAAAACACAGCTTTGACCTATATTTAACCAAATGCCATTGAGTAACCAAATTAATTCAATTATTTCATAAAGAAACTACAAAGATTGGTAATCAGGGTTCTAACATTCAAAATGTTTAATTTTTTCCTAAAAAGTGCTCTTGATATATCTATTATCTTCTCCAGAACCAAGTCTTTAAAGGCATCCACTGCTAAAAAAAAAACCTGTCTTCTTGTCCATTGCACCAAGGAAATGAAAATATATTACTTAAGTATTTCAAGAGAAATCATGGCGTCAATGTGGAAAAAGTTATCCATTGTCTCCACATCCTGTGTGAATGTACCAAGAACATCTTCTAGAACCCAGTTTGTTAGGGGCTGCTGCTGCCTGCCCTCTACCATCACTCATTTAAAGAATAAAGCAGTGATGCTCAGTCAGCTGTAGACCTGTCTCTTCAATCCATAGCATTGCCTGGTAGCTGGTGCAATGGGACTCAGAAATCCCTGGAGGATTTATCTGAATGCAAATAGTTATGGCGTGGCACCAATAGTAATAATAGTATTATTGCTTCTTTTATAAGTATCTATGCTTGAGGAAAGTTAACAAAAAAATAAATAGAATTTGGAATTTGGAGATATCATACTTTTCCTTTTATATTAAATCCATACCAGACAGAAACGAGTGTATGCACTTGGGATTTATGAAATGTAAAGAAAGGCCGGGCATTGATGTCGCACGCCTTTAATCCCAGCACTAAGGAGGCTGAGGCAGGCGGATCTCTGTGAGTTAGAGGCCAGCCTGGTCTACAGAGTGAGTTCCAGGACAGCCTCCAAAGCCACAGAGAAACCCTGTCTCAAAAAAACAAAACAAAAAAAAAGATGCAAAGAAAATGACTACAGGCAACTGTGCTTGGCAAAGGTGAGTTTACAGCACTGTCTTCAGTAAGTGGCATTACTGCAGGAGTAAAGAAACACACACGCACACACGCACACACGCATGCACACATACACACACACGCACACACACATGCACACACATGCACGCACAAACACACGCACGCACGCACATACACACATGCACACATACGTGCATACACATAAACACACGCACGCACACACACGCACACACGTGTGCACACACACACGCACACATCAAGAGGGTGCTCAGCTGGTCTGCTGATGACACTACTGCAGGAGAAAGGACAGTCTCTGAGGTGTGTTTGCCTGAAAACTGAACAGTACATGGTAGATGACAGCAGAAATGCAGTGTGTTGTCCAAGATTCACCCAGATTCTGGACCAACATAAAATTTCCTAGGAAAATGAGAGCATCTGAAATGGAAGAAAATATTAACAATGAACAAACCAACTTGATGAATTATCAACAGTCTGGGGGAAGTAGACTGCAGAGGAGGGAGGAAATGACCAGTTTTAAAGAGGCCCCCGCTCAGGGGGGCTAAGAGACATCCTGTGAGGAAAGGTCCCCCGCTCAGGGGGGCTAAGAGACATCCTGTGAGGAAAGGTCCCCCTTGGAGACGCTGTGTCTGGACTCACTGCCACAGAGATCAGTCATACCAAGGGGCACAAGACAACACGAGAATCAAAGCCTACGGTATAAAGAATTCTTCATCCACGGCAGAATGAAACGACATGTATTGAGCTGCTATAGGAGAAGAAGACTGATTAGAAATGTGAATACCAACATGAGGGAACAGTAATCTCCAAACTTTGTCAGGAATAAAGACCTGCTTAACCCTGACACCTACGACAAAAACCGATTCTGAAAAATGAGAAAATGTAAAGCATGTTGACTCAGAAGTGATTTGTAGGATCCGGTCCGTTCATTGAAGCATGGTAAACTGAAAGTGATTGTAAAACAGGAGGGAATGTGGGGAGGCTCATGGAGGAACTGGGGGGACAGAAACCGTAGTCAGAATACACTGCATGAAAAAGAAAACTAGAAAAGAAACATATCAGCCAGGTATGTTTAAGAGGGAAGCCTTAAAATCTGCCACTGAAATCTCGCTATCGCAAATTACATTAAACTACATTAAACATAGCTTGTGCTGCACCAGTAAATTATGGTTATGAGGAAAGATATGTAGCTGAGAGGTGGTTCTCCAGACTCAGTCATAAGAGGGCAGTGTCACACCAACAACAGGTTAAATAATAATGCCCTGCGGCGACCGTCATTAGACCCATGAGGGTCAATCAGCCTGGAAGGCCGTCTCAAACCAGGGTCCCTCTTTCCAAGGTAACACCAGTGATTCTGATAAGTCTCAGGAATCATAGTGTTCATATTATTTTTAGATCTGGTATTCAAGGCAGACATGGGGTCGGAGATGAAGGTGAGCCACACTGAGAAGTACGATGAGTAGAAGTTGGGTGTGTGGACACAAGCCTGAACCCCAGTATTGGGAGGCTGAGGCAGGAAGATGACAAATTTCTGGCCAACAGAAACCCTGCAGCAAAATGTAATAGCAATAGTAGTTGTTGATGATGATGATGATGGTGATGACGACGGAGTAATTGAAGAGACGAGCAGGATAGAAAGAGAGAAAGGGCGGTTACTTACGATAGCGGAGAAGAGAACTCCTTAGTGAGGAGTAGCATAGGGTGAAGAGACATCAGTGCAGCATATCCCACAGTTGCCTCAGCCATCTTAACTTTGCAAGTTAACGTCATCGAAACCAGAACCTACTGAGCTTGTTTTACATATCATCTGTGCTGAACTGGGAGCTATTTTCCACATTTACATGTAAGCATTTTGTGAAAAGCTGTTGTTACACACAGAAGACAGGGCCACCTAGAAAGTATTACCCACTAAGATGAAAAGTACGTTACTTACAGTTATCAGACATCTTGGAAGAGAAATATTTCAGAAGACTTAAAATGCTCATCCCCTCTAGTTCTGGCTGCTTTTCTGACTTGTCCATGGGGAAAGCCTCCTTCTGCCGACTTGGACAGTCACAGAACCCAATCAAAGCCGTTTTCCTCAGGTAAGAGGTAGCTGCATACAAACACACTTCCGAAATAATTGTTGTATATGTGAAGATAACATCTGAGGCCCAGGAAAGGTCATACGTCTCAAAGCTCTTTTCCTGAAACAAAAATCCAAAAGGGCGTGCTAGAAAAATCTAAGCACAGTCTTTCAGCCCTAGAAAACATACGTGTAGTAGGGATATAACAAAAAAAAAAAATATATATATATATATATTCAAATGTCAGGCCATTGTTATAGAACCAATTAAAATTTCTAAAATGTACTCATTAAAACTTACTTGGGGATGAGTATGTTTTATTTAAAAATAGTTTTAAAAATTTAAGTAACAAATATATATATTAAGCAGCAAGTATTCCATTTCTTTAGTAATCAATGGAAGATAAATTAACCTATCACGGGTGAGTCTGTTTTATTCAGGGCTGTGATACCTGGTAGGCTGCCTGAGTGGTCGTTTAGTGGGGAGCCTTACACTCATCCGTATACTGGAAGCATTAAGTATTCTCAGAGGGTTACAAAAAAAATACAAGACTTTATGAAGTTGGGAGGAGGAAGTGGTATGGGCGTAGGAGATGAATTTGGCCAACATAGACTATTTGCATGCATGAAGTTCCCAAATAATAAATTAAAAGAAAAACTACTCTCCATATAATGCTGGAAAATAACCTTTTCTAGTGTGTGTAACTTTCATATGCATAGAAATACAAAAATATTACAACTTTCAGGACAGAATTTAAGAATGTGTCCCAAGAAGCTGTTCGTGGGAGCAGGCTCATAGGAAAGTTTATAGAAAAGGAAACGGGGTGACTGGAGGCGAGGAGCTCAGTGTGAGCACGAGGTCCTGAGTTCAGATCCCTGGCACCCACAGGAAACACCCGTAGGTGGCAACACACACCCGGAATCTTAGTGCTGTGATAGGGAAACAATATTCCAGGGGTTTTTTCACTGAGCAGTCAGCTTACCCCTCCGCGAGCTCCAGGTTCAATGAGAGATTGTCTCAAAACAACAGACAAACACATTGACATCTGGCCTACAGACACACATACACAAACACAGACACAACACACAGGGGACAGAAGGAGAGAGGGGAGAGATTATAGTATTTTACTAACTAATTCATTCTAATTAGCTAAAATTTCATTTCTAAGAATGCCAGTTCCATATGCAAAAAAAAGAAAGAAAAACCCTACTGTTGACAATGCCACATACTTTGGTTATATTATACAGGGAAGTCAAGCCAGAGTAAACCTAGAAACTCCCTCCACGATGGCTGGTGTTCCTAGTTCCAGAATGTCCCAGACTGCTTGGGGACAAAAACCAGCAGCATTACCCAACTGTAGACCCATTCACTTAGTGGGAAAAAATGTCTAACGGGGGCACTGCCTCCCCACTATTTTAGGGCTTCATTTATATTTATTTCGTGTACACATATATTTCAAAAACCTTCTACAAGTTTTGCTTATATATTATGGTTTTCCAATCGTGTGTTTTTGAGTGTATGTGTGTGTGTGTGTGTGTGTGTGTGTGTGTGTGTGTGTGTGTGTGTGTGTTTCCTGTGTACTTTCTTTGGTTTGGTTGGTTTGCTGGTTTGTGTTTTGGTTTATTTGCTTTCTAAAGAGAGAGAGAAAGGGTGTGGAGCTGGATGGAATGGGGAGGTGGGAAGCATCTGGGAGGAGCCAGGGAAGGAGAAACCAAAATCAGACTATATATTGTAAAAAATTTTTAAATGAAAACAAAAACAGGAAAATCAAACACAAAGAAGAGGGAAAATGACATAAAATAGTAGGGCATCAGCAGGGTTGGGAGAGTGCAAAAGAGGATAATTAGGGTGAATATGATCATGAAACAGTGTATTCATATATGGAATTGTCAACTATTGCAAGCATGAAAGACTTCCAGTTCAAAATTGTTCCTTAACTGTTAAAAACTGAAAACAAACTTAATATCCAACAATAAAGAATGAAATGATCCCCTTTCCACTAAAATGCAAAATTTTCAAAAATTGTTATAAGTATTATTGTAAAAAAGTTCAAATAAAAGAAACCAGACACAAGTCCTCACAGACCCAACCCGCAGCAATCCCCACACCTGTGTGCCCAGCCCCAGGTGACCTTGGGTTCTCCTGGGACCCCCCTCCCCTGCCCACCACCCACTCCCTCAATCGTCCAGGGGGCCACTTCTGCCATTGAGAGGACTGGCCCACACAGGAAAGACATGAGCCCTTCCAGACCACCCCTCATTCCCCACCGGGCACCCAGCTTCAGGAAAGATGACCAGTGGAGACAGAAAGGCCCCACCTGCACCCACTGGAAGAAGAGATGGGAAGAAGACAGAATAAGAGCTCACTCAGCAATAGAAAGACCAACATGACTCCACCAGAATTTAGAGACCCCATGCCAGCAAGACCTGAAAAGCACAATATAGATGAAGCAGAAAAGACAGACCTTAAAGATTATTTTATGAAGATGACAGAGACTCTCAAAGAGGAAATGAGGAAATCCCTTAAAGAAATAGAAGAAAAAACAAACAAAAAATACATGAAATGAAGGAAAAGACGAACCAAAAAATTCAAGAAATGAACAAATCTCTTCAAGAATCTAAAGAGTACCAAGAAAAAACAACCAAACAAATGAAGGAAACAACTCAAACAGTTGAAGTACTGAAAGCTGAAATAGAAACAATAAAGAAAACACAGAATGAGGGGATGCTGGAAATAGAAAAGCTGGGTAAACCATCAGGAACTACAGATGAAAGTATCACCAATAGAATACATGAGATGGAAGAGAGAATCTCAGGTGTTGAAGACTCATTAGAGGATATACAGTCATCAACCAAAGAAAATCTCAAATCCAACAAATCCCTAACACAAAATATCCAGGAAATATGGGACACCGTGAAGAAGCCAAACCTGAGAATAATAGGTACAGAAGAAGGCGAAGAAACACAGCTCAAAGGTACAGAAAACATATTCAACAAAATCATAGAAGAGAACTTCCCTAACCTAAAGAAGGATATGCCTATGAAAATACAAGAGTCTTACAGAACACCAAATAGGCTGGACCAGAAAAAGAAGTCCCCTTGCCACAGAATAATCAAAATATCAAACCTACAGAATAAAGGGAAAATATTAAGAGCAGCTAAAGAAAAAGGCCAAGTAACATATAAAGGCAGACCTATTCGAATTACACCCGACTTCCCAATGGAAACTATGAAAGCCAGAAGATTCTGGACAGATGTCCTACAAACGCTAAGGGAACAAGGATGCCAGCCCAGACTACTATATCCAGCAAAGCTTTCAACTACCATAGATGGAGAAAACAAAACATTCCACGACAAAGCCAGATTTAAGCAATACATATCCACGAATCCAGCCCAACAGAAAGAGCTGGAAGGAAAACTTAAACCCAATGAAGATGACTACACTCACAAAGACATAGGCAGTAGATAATTCCACTTTACCAAACACCAAAAGAAAAAGGGAGGAAAACCTACACACAATAACACCACTACCAATAAATCAAAAACAAACAAGAATCAACAATCAGTGATCATTAAGATCCTCAATGTCAACGATCTCAACTTGCCTGTAAAATGACACAGACTAGCAGAATGCATACTAAGACAGAACCCATCCTTCTGCTGCATACAAGAAATACATCTCAATGTCGAAGACAGACGTTACCTTAGAGTAAAGGGTTGGGAAAAGATTTTCCAATCAAACGGACCCAAGAAACAAGCTAGTATAGCAATCCTAATATCTAACAAATTAGACTTCAAATTAAAATCAATCAAAAGAGATGAAGAAGGACATTTCATATTCATCAAAGGAAAAATCCATTAAGATAAAGTCTCAATTCTGAACATCTATGCCCCAAATACAAAGGCACCCACATTCGTGAAAGAAAGATTACTAAAACTCAAATCGCACATAAAATCTCACACACTAGTAGTAGTAGATTTCAACACTCTACTCTCACCACTAGACAGGACCTCCAGACAGAAACTTAACAAAGAAACAAAAGAACTAATAGAAGTTATGACCCAATTGGGTTTAACAGGCATCTATAGAACATTCCATCCAAACACAAAGAAATATACCTTATTCTCGGCACCACATGGAACCTTCTCTAAAATCGACCACATAATCTGAAACATAACAAACCTTCACAGATACAAAAATATTGGAATAAGCCCCCGTATCTTATCAGACCACCATGCATTAAAATTAGAATTTAACAATAACACAAATCACAGAAACCCTACAAACTCATGGAAATGGAAAAACGCACAATTGCACTATTCCTGGGTAAAGGAAGAAGTCAAAAAAGAAGTTAAAGACTTTCTGGAATTCAATGAGAATGAAGACACAACATACCCAAACTTATGGAACACTCTGAAAGCAGTGCTGAGAGGAAAGTTTGTAGCACTAAGTGCCCACATGAAGAAACTGGAGAATTAATAGCACAGCTGAATGTTCTAGAATAATCAAACTGAGGGCTGAAATCAGTCAAGTAGAAGCCAGGAAAACATTGCAAAGAATCAATGAAACAAAGAGTTGGTTCTTTGAGAAAATCAACAAGATAGACAAACCTTTGTCCAAACTAATGAAAAGGCAAAGGGGGACATAACAACGGACACTGAGGAAATACAGAGTATCATCAGGGCATACTTTGAAACCTGTAGTCCATAAAATTCAAAAATTTAAAGGAAATTGATAATTTCCTGGATAGATATCACTTGCCAAAATTAAATAAAGAACAGAAATAGAAGCAGTCATCAAAAGTCTCCTAACCAAAAAAAAAAAAAAAAAAGCCCAGGCCCAGATGGCTTCAGTGCAGAATTCTACCAGAAATTCAAAGAAGAGCTACTTCCAATATTCCTCAAAGTGTTCCACACAATAGAAGCAGGAGGGTCATTGTCAAACTCTTTTTACAAGGCTACAATTACCTTGGTACCCAAGCCACACAAAGACACAACTAAGAAAGAGAACTACAAACCAATTTCCCTCATGAACATCGATGCAAAAATACTCAATAAAAAACTGGCAAATCAGATCCAAGAACACATCAGAAAAATCATCCATCATGATCAAGTAGGCTTCATCCCTGGGATACAGGCATGGTTCAACATACAAAAATCTATCAATGTAATCCACCATATAAACAGACTGCAAAGGAAAAAACCACATGATTATCTCACTAGATACTTAAAAGGCCTTTGAAAAAATCCAATATCACTTCATGATAAAGGTCCTAGAGAGATCAGAGATAACAGGAACATACCTGAACATAATAAAAGCAATATACAGCAAACTAACAGCTAACATCAAACTAAATGGAGAAAAACTCAACATAATTCCTCTAAAATCAGGAACAAGACAAGGATGATCACTCTCTCCACATTTCTTCAATATTGTTCTTGAAGTTCTAGCTACAGCAATAAGACAACAAAAGGAGATCAAGGGGATACAAATAGGAAAAGAAGAAATCAAGTTTTCACTATTTGCAGATGATATGATAGTTTACATAAGTGACCCGAAAAACTCCACAAGGGAACTCCTAGAGCTAATAAACACCTTCAGCAACGTGGCAGGATACAAGGCTAACTCCAAAAAATCAGTGACCCTATTATATACAGAAGATAAAGTGGCTGAGAAAGAAATCAGAGAAACATCACCCTTTACAATAGCCATAAACAGCATCAAGTATCTGGGGATAATGTTAACCAAGGAAGTGAAAGACCTGTATATCAAGAACTTTGAGTCTCTAAAGAAAGAAATCAAAGAGGATACCAGAAAATGGAAAGATCTCCCATTCTCTTGGATTGGTAGGATCAATATAATAAAAATGCCAATCTTGCCAAAAGCAGTCTACAGATTCAATGCAATCCCTATCAAAATTCCGACACAATTCTTCACAGACCTTGAAAGAACAATAATCAACTTTATATGGAAAAACAAAATGCCCAGGATAGCCAAAACAACCCTATACAATAAAGGAACTTCAGGAGGCATCACCATACCTGACTTTAAGCTCTATTATAGAGCTATAGTCCTGAAAACAGCTTGGTATTGGCACAAAAATAGACAGGTAGACCAATGGAACCAAATTGAAAACCCTGATTTTAACCCACACACCTATGAACACTTGATTTTTGACAAAGAAGCTAAAACTATACAATGGAAAAAAGAAAGCATCTTCAACAAATGGTGCTGGCATAACTGGGTGTTGGCATGCAGAAGACTGAAGATAGATCCATGTCTATTGCCTTGCACAAAACTTAAGTCCAAGTGGATCAAAGACCTCAACATAAATCCAACCACACTGAAACTCTTAGAAGAGAAAGTGGGAGATACTCTTCAATGAGTTGGTACAGGAGACCACTTCCTGAACATAACACCAGTGGCACAGACACTGAGGTTGACAATTAACAAATGGGAGCTCCTGAAACTAAGAAGATTCTGTAAGGCAAAGGACACAGTCAACAAGACAAAAAGACAGTCCACAGAATGGGAAAAGATATTCACTAACCCCACATCTAACAGAGGGCTAATCTCTAAAATTTACAAAGAACTCAAGAAGCAAGTCCCCAAAACACCAAAGGATCCAATCAAAAGGTGGGGTACAGAACTAAATAGAGAATTCTCAATAGAGGAGGCTAAAATGTCCAAGAGATACTTAAGAAAGTGCTCAGCATCCTTAGCCATCAGGGAAATGCAAATCAAAACAACTTTGAGATACCATCTTACTCCTGTCAGAATGGCTAAAATCAAAAACACCAAAACAATGGAATCTTGAAATTCTCAGGTAAATGGATGGCACTAGAAGAAACCATCCTGAGTGAGGTAATCCAGTCACAAAAAGACAAACATGGTATGTACTCACTCATATATGGATTTTAGACATGGATCAGGATAGTGCCAGTCTGCACTTCCACTGACAGAGAGTCTGGGAAACAGGAAAGAACCTAAGAGAGATATGCATGGTACCCAAGAGAAGAGAAATGAGGTAAGATCCTCTGAACAGATGGGGAATACGGCGAGGGTTGGGGGGAGTGGGAGCTGGGAAGAGAGGGGGAGAAGAGGAAGAAATGGTCATGGGTGAACAGGAGGGTTGAGTGGGGCATAGAATAGGGGGAGAACAGGATGAGAAATACCATAACAGAGGGAGTCATAGGTTAGAAGACAGATCAGGCACCAGTGAGACCTCTAGTGCTCTAAAGGGATGACACCAACTGGCAAGCTAAGCAATAGTGGAGAGACCACCTCGAATGCCCATTCCTGATAATGAACTTGACATCTACACTATATGCCATCCTAGAGCCTTCATCCAGTGACTGAAGGAAGCAGAGGCAAACACCCACAGTTAAACACTGAACCCAGTGACAGAGAGAGAGAGAGGAGTGATGAGCAAATTAGCAAAGAATGGGCTGGCAAAACCAGCAGAGACAGCTGATCTGAACAGGGGAGAGCTCTTGGACCCCAGACTGCCAGCATGGGACTGATCCAGACCCCCTGAATGTGAGAGTCAGTGAGGAGGCCTGGGCAACCTATGGGGCCCTGGGCAGTGGATCAGTGTTTATCCCTGGCCATACAAACGGACTCTGTGTGTCCATAACACAAAGAGGGTTGCTCTCTCAGCCTGGACTCTTAGGGTAGTGCCTGGACCCTGCCCTGAGTGAGATGACAGACTCTGGATATCCCCGATGTGGAAGGAAGTGGGCAGGGGGAGGATGGCGGGGGGGTGTGGGAGGAGGGGAGGGAGAGGGAACTAGGATTGTCATGTGAAGCAAGCTCTTTTCTAAACAAATGTAGAAAAAAAAAAAAGAAACCAGACACAAAAATTAACCAGATCCAAACTCTATACATCTTAATGAACTGGTTAGAAGAGCCATTTAGAATTTCACACTGGATTGTATACTTTCTCCCTCGTGTGCAGAATCTAGTCAATAATACATATTTTGTGTAAACAAATGTACACGTGGTTACAGCACGGCACGCAGAAAAGAGAACAAGAAAGGGCATCAGGAGATAGAGTTATGAAAGAGCATAGAAAGCTAATGTTTTTCTAATTCTAACCCGGTCATGGGTTGTGTGCTTTCTAGTGATGGATAATTGCACGCATATTGATCTGATAGGGAAAGTGTAAAATACAAGATGTAACAGACACATAGATGATAAATCGTGATGCTGTGGTAAGTGAATATTCACTTTTATAGTTAATTAGAATTACTACAGGGGCACACACACCACATGCTCAGATGCAGTGTGCACAGTACACACGGAGGAGAGCAAAGCATGCCTCCAGGCAGCTCCTTTCCACATCTCAACGGCAAGCTGTTACCTGGTTCTGAACGGAGGAGATGCTCAGAAGGAAATCTCTCACTAGGTCCATCAGTGCCTTCAAGCAGGCCATGTTCAACTTAGCAGCCTCCCCCAGGACCAACAAAGCCAGCGCTGAATCCAACCTGCATTGGGAACAAGGGACAAAGACCTCAGTAAAAATAATAGTAATCGATTCTAATGAAAAAGCACTGACACCAAAAGGAATGAAGATTTGAATTATCAGGTATATTTGTTTTCTATAGTGAACGATTTTTGAGTGGCATGAATTACAGTGAAAGTCTACAAAGCAGAGTGACGTTTTGGAAGGTAGCATAAATTTAAGATCCTGGACTCGGGGTTGGCATAATAAGAACTACGCATCCTCCCCATCTGTTTGTGGATCCTGCCTGGTACAGTATCCGAGGGCTGTAGCTCTGCAGAGAACCCGCAGGCCCTCACAAGGGACCCTCGATTCACTTTCTTCATGCAATGGGGTTAAATTGAGGAATGCTTTCTTTCCAAACTTACACAACAAGTGACAAACTAGGTAAATACTCCCAAAACTCAGGGTTATTGCCTTCTTTGAAAAGTGACATACCTCTAATTAAAACATCTATTTCATTAAAAAATGAATAAGGTTGTAGGCTAGTTTTTTAATGTTATATAAGTGGAAATTTATAATGGAAGTTGTTAGACATTGATGTTTATATGGAATGAGGTTTTCAAGAAATTTTACATTTCACACCCTTATTTTCAATCCACCCAACTGAAATAGAAACAAGTTGAGAGAGAATTGAGAGGTAGCAAATGCAAGATTACCTGGCTATATAGAGCTGCTTATAGCCTTGACATTAGATAGTTAATAAATTTAACATCCAGGGCATTTAAAAAGTATGCTTGAATTTCACTACTGTGCTATTCGGGTCATTGAGGGTAGGTCTGCTCTTCATCCCTTCCCTATGAAAACACTTGGTGTTAAGTGAATTAAGCCAGGCTCAGAAAAACAAGTACCCATCTCTGTCTTTTATTCAGAATCTAGATGCCCCAAAAAGACTTGAAGATAGAGGGACATACAGTAGCTTCTCTTTGGGAAAGGGACTGGAGCCTGCGGGGTGGAGGTAAAAGGGTCGAGGGAGAGCAAGGGGATGGTAGACATGACCAACGTACATCCTGTGCTTGTCTGGAAACTCCATAGTGGAGCCCATTACGTTCTACAACCAATACATGCTAGTAAGATAGGTTATAAGAAGTGCAAAAAGGGAATGCCTTTCATGAGACAAAGTCAGTTCTAAATACACAGGCAGAGTTTTCCAGATCTCGGGAAGCGTCCACACCCATTATCCTACTTGATTTAAACATGACGGCTTCGGACTCATTTCAGACTTTTTCGAATACCTTTCTTTTGAACGTCCTGGATTGTAGACATGGAAAGCCTGAGGAGCATGCATACATTCCCTTTAAAGCTCGCTTGACTGCACCTAACATCTTCGCTGGCGTATCGTATTGTTTTGCAGTCCTTCCTTCCCTAAGTCATTTCTTAAGTGTTTCAACACTGAACCTCACCGTGGTGGGGGCCGACTGTTTGTTGCCTGTTAAAAGAGCAGGAGTTCCGCTCAAGACAGCGAAATGCTTGGCACCCATCGTCCCCTCGGCATGGAACGCTGTGTGTCTTGGATGGAAGAGATGAGTAGATTTGTCAAAAGTGACAGATCTACATCTAAATGTACTGAGATATAACATATAAAGAATCTCAGCGCATTTGACTTAAAAGTCAACTCTTTGTGTGCCCCTGAATATTGAAAGCAGCATGTGATGTCGACTTGGCCAATGGGACAGAAACGAAATTAGATCGCCAGGCGTGTTGATGCAACCCTGTAATCCCACCACTTGACAGGCTGAGAGCATTTCTCGAGACACAACACAAACAGAGACGCACAAAGAGATACTCTAGGTAAGCTAGTGCTTTTCTGGACAACAACAACAACAACAACAACAATAATAATAATAATAATAATGATAATAGGAGCATATTTAGAAAGATAAAAAGCTTTCATCTCCTTCATCCAGTCTTTTCCTCCTGCCTGGAATGCGTACTAAATCCCACATTATAGTAACAACAGTGAAAGCCTCACACTTAGGGAAGGCGGGAACAGGGGGACCAAAGCACCTACATCACAATGCATTTTTGTCCTGGAAAAAATGGAACCCCTATCTGGTCACCCAAGTGTAACTGGATTTCTCTGACGCAGAGAAGACGAAATCCCAACCAATACACCTAACGCTGTATGTACTGAAATACTGTGTCCGAAACACTGAGCAGAATTCAGTGCCGGAAATACTGCCGCTCGGCTACTTAAAAAGGATACGCTGTTGAACCAACAGTGCATCGCGCCCCTCCCTCCTCGTCTTAATTTAATGTGATGTAAATAAATAAGTAGCAAAATCTGGTAGCTGCGGGTCATCGCCATCCTGAAACGACTGGATTAGAGTGTTGGGCTGAACTGAGTGACCATTTCTCCAGTGCTGAAAGGTAAAGAGTTTGCTACCTTTCTCTGTAAAGTCGCTGAAAAGAAACCCAGCGGACCCCCCACCCCCTGTCATTCCTCATGCTCGCCACCCGTGCCCCCCCGTCATTCCTCACGCTCGCCACCCCCACCCCCGTCATTCCTCAGCTCGCCACCTGTGCTCCCCCCGTCATTCCTCATGCTCGCCACCCGTGCCCCCCCCGTCATTCCTCATGCTCGCCACCTGTGCTCCCCCCGTCATTCCTCATGCTCGCCACCTGTGCTCCCCCCGTCATTCCTCATGCTCGCCACCCGTGCCCCCCGTCATTCCTCATGCTCGCCACCTGTGCTCCCCCGTCATTCCTCATGCTCGCCACCTGTGCTCCCCCCGTCATTCCTCATGCTCGCCACCCGTGCCCCCCCCGTCATTCCTCACGCTCGCCACCCCCACCCCCCGTCATTCCTCACGCTCGCCACCTGTGCTCCCCCGTCATTCCTCACGCTCGCCACCCGTGCCCCCCATCATTCCTCACGCTCGCCACCCCCACCCCCGTCATTCCTCACGCTCGCCACCCCCACCCCCGTCATTCCTCACGCTCGCCACCCGTGCCCCCCGTCATTCCTCACGCTCGCCACCTGTGCCCCCCATCATTCCTCACGCTCGCCACCCCCACCCCCCATCATTCCTCACGCTCGCCACCCCCACCCCCGTCATTCCTCACGCTCGCCACCCGTGCCCCCCCGTCATTCCTCACGCTCGCCACCCGTGCCCCCCGTCATTCCTCACGCTCGCCACCCGTGCCCCCCGTCATTCCTCATGCTCGCCACCTGTGCCCCCCGTCATTCCTCATGCTCGCCACCTGTGCTCCCCCCGTCATTCCTCACGCTCGCCACCCGTGCCCCCCATCATTCCTCACGCTCGCCACCCGTGCCCCCCGTCATTCCTCACGCTCGCCACCCGTGCTCCCCCGTCATTCCTCACGCTCGCCACCCGTGCCCCCCGTCATTCCTCATGCTCGCCACCCCCACCCCCGTCATTCCTCAGCTCGCCACCCGTGCTACCCCCCGTCATTCCTCACGCTCGCCACCTGTGCTCCCCCAGTCATTCCTCATGCTTGCCACCCGTGCCCCCCATCATTCCTCATGCTCGCCACCTGTGCCCCCCCATCATTCCTCACGCTCGCCACCTGTGCTCCCCCAACCCCGCCCACCCCCGAGGACAGCCTGCCTCCATAGCCTTTCTCTCTTCTGCCCTCTTTTATGTCTGGAAAGCTGTCTAAACTAGGGCACACTCACTGAACTATGGGTTTTAAACACCGCTGTGCCAGCCACTTGCGGCAGAAAGTTTGCTGCCTCGCTCACTAGAAGCACACTGTTTTCAATCGATGCCGCAGACTGCGATACCTTCCATAAGCAAAACTGCTTCTGCCAAAAGTAGAACAGACGCATCAATACATGTGAGCTGAAATTTGTTCAAAGTCAAAGTCAAAGTCTTCCCAAGGAGGGAAGAGCCGGAGCCGAACCGGCTGAGCACCACTAAGGCACCATTACCTCCTCCTCAAGCTTATTAAAATGCAGATAAAGTTACAAATCGGCAACTTGATTTCACAAAACTTTGCAACTGAACAGGTACCGAGCAAGCTCCAGTAGGTGTTGTGCATTTCCGTTAATAGTGTAACCAAGAGTCTGAACCAGGCTTCACAAATGTTCACACCCACACACCTCTGTGAGGAAGTGAGTGGGTTGCCATTTGGGAAAAATGAAACTAAGCTGTCTCCAACTTGTAATATTCATAGAGGTTATTCCAACCTTCCCATAAATATTTCAGCAAACACTATATCCAAATCCATACAACCTTGAAAACCGATAACAAGAAAAGGACACACGCAGCAACTTACAGAGACAGCGCAAGCCATAAAATTGGTGGACCTGGGTTATGAGAAGCAGGAAAGAAATGCCCAGTCTCCGCACTGGGAAACGCAGCAGACAGTGTCCCAAAGGGGAAAAAATAATTGCATTCATCTTCAGTTTGACCTGTGAGTCAGAGAATCAGAGACAAATGTATCTGTAATCTTAATTCTGTAGCTCATTTTACCTTTATCTCTTCATCTTTCTTCAGAGTTAGCGAGATTCAAAGGACAGGCAACCCCTAGAGGCACGTGGAGAGGCAACAGGAAAAAGAGATGTCATGGGGAGGCCCAGCAGTGGGCTTTGCTACGGGAGTGGGGACACATGGATGTCCAGCATCTTCACTTACGCCACAGAATTTCATGGGTCTCTTCTCGTTCTGGGACTCCTGAAGTGAAACCTGGACAAGCAGACTCCCTTGGGACCAGTGAAAATTTATACTATGACAAGGGCTAAGAAAAGTACCAGTCTGATTCCTCGGAGAAAGCCATAACTCCTACCAAAACGTCTTACAGGGACCCAAGGACATGGCTTAGAGGAAAAGGTACTGACCACACAAGCGTGAATACCTGAGTTCTATTTCTCCAAATCCACATAAAACCGGGTGTAACATGGAACACATTGGTAATCCCAGGGCTCGCCTGACATGACGGGAGGCTGTGACAGAAGGAGTCCCTGAATGGATGCAGAATTAAATTCAAACATATCATTAATTCTTTAAGTGGAAAGTATCAAATTTTAAATAATTAGTCTAGTGCCACAAAGAGTATATTAACAGACAAAGTAGAGTAGGGTTAGTAGAAATGTGTTAGTCTGGTGTTCATTGTGTAAGGGTCTTGCTGTGTTGCCCTCCTGGACACAGAGCTAAAAGAATTCCCTTGCACGGCTTGAGTGTGTGTGTGTGTGTGTGTGTGTGTGTGTGTGTGCGTGTTTGCAAGAGATGACTACATGAAAATTCTGATCTTCATTCTGTCTGCTGAAAGGGTTCCTCCACTGGGTTACAGGAGATCCCTCATCCTTGTGGCAGCAGGGCGGCCACTGGGGAAGACCAGAGGCACCCGCCCCCCCCCCCCCGCAGAGAGCAATGACCCCTGTTTCTCAAACACACCACCGCTGATTCCTCCTCCCACACACACACACCCGTCAGCTTCCACAGCCACTCCCGGCTGTCTGTGTGGCTAATGGCAGTGCATCCAGCCAACAGGATCTTCCATTTCTGCTTTTATTGGTTTCCCAATACCGTGTAAGTTGTGCGCAAGGTTGGCTGGGGCCTCTGTGTCACGGAAAGCCGCCTTTAGAAAGCACTGCCCGTCGGAAGAGCGATGCAGTCACACAATCACATTTCTGTTGTAACCCTGGCGGCATAGCGCACGTGACACACTATCAAGGGGAAGATTTGTATCCAAGAGGCCCGTTTGTCAATGATAGCAGCGACACATGCTAAAACTTTACAAGGCAGTGGGAGCGGGACTAGGGAGCGAGAGCGCAAGGGAGCGGGTATGAACTGCAACCCTTGCGTTTGCAGCCAATTCAGATGCTAGGAAAGGGGGTGGGGCAGAGGCAGGCAGAGGCAGGCTGATTTCTATGAGTTCAAGGCCAGGTTGGTCTTACATGGTGAACTCCAAGTCAAAGTTATACAGTGAGACTCTTGTCTCAAAGGGGGCCTAAGGGAGGAGAGGAGAAAAGGAGAAACTAATTTGATTGACTTATGAGGAGGTGCGCTGAAGTAAAATCTCAGCTGGCCAGAGGCTAGTTGAGGAAAATCAGTTCAATTTTGAGTTAGAAGAACATGAGTAGGGGACAGACGTCTTCTCTAAACCTCTCAGAAGCGTTTTGAGAAGCGACAAAACAATATACATAAAAGTAGCATTATGCAGACTGGGTGGAATGTGTTTATAATACTATGTATCATATATGTTCTATGTCTACACACACACATATGTAGCAATAGTTGAAGATGTGCTGATTTGAAAGAGAGAATAGGTTTACATGGAGGATTTAGAGGGAGGAAATGGTGAAAACAGGATGGTTTTGTTTCCTCTAAGTGTTCAACGAACTGTTTCATCAGTGTTAAAGAATCACTGAAAGTGTGGCAGGGAGAAAGAGGTCCCAGACGTAGGTCTCCTGACTTGAGGTTGGATGTTTCCCTCACTCGGTGACTATGTGGCGATGCATAGACTTGTATGTCTCCCACTAGCGGACTAAACACGTGCAGTGTGGAGGATCTATGGAGCTATGAAGAATGGGATATGAGTCGAGAAGAATCGAGAAAGCAGAAACCTGGGTGCGCGCACAGCCGTCTCCACTCCTGGAGAGTGGAGGGAGACTGCACCACGACTTTTCTTTAAACGCTTCCAGTGAAACTTCGCCATGAACACTGGAGTTAGCAGGGCCGAGGAGGCAGACAGACAGTGTGGACAGTGATCTAGCTGGAGTGTGCAGGGTCTCCCCAAGCACCTGGCTTTCCTTCATTTTGATACAAGCACAAATACTCTAAAGTCCAATAAACATTTGCCACATTGACACAGTTTTCAGTCACCAAGCTTTTGTTAAAAAAAAATACCCACAAGGGTCACAATAAACTGGCTGCTTTGCTTTGGGTGATGGGATTGTATGATGATGCTCTGCTGAAATGTCTTGCTACATTTCTCAGCAGTCTTCAATGGCCAAGAACCCAATTAGAAAAATAAATTTTTCAAGTTAGGTTTGAAAGCCTTTGGAGTTGGTTTGAGCTGTCTCTCCAAAGCAAACAGGGCACTTTGTGAAAGCCCAAACTACAGGGTAAAGCACTGAGACTCTGAGACAGAGTATGAAATTCAGCCATGTTAAGGAGAAACCTGCTTCCCAGAAAGTTGCCCATCTCTAACTCTGGGTGAACAAAGCCACTGTGTGGCGTCTGGGGGCTCCCTCAGCCTCCAGCCTTCTCGTTCTCCTTTGTGTCTTATACTATGTTGACTTTAGGACCCCCTTTCTTCTTGGGACATCAAGGTCTCCATCAAGACTGCTCTAATTCTGATTGTGTGTGTGTGTGTGTATGTGTGTATGTGAGTCAGTGTGTGAGTCAGTGTATGTGTATGCACGCGTGAGTGTGTGTGTGTGTATGTATGTGTATATGTATGATGTGTGTATGTGAGTGTGTTTGTGTGTGAATATGTGTGTATGTGAGTGTGTGTGTGAGTCAGTGTGTGCGTATGTATGTGTGAGCGTGTGTGTGTATGTGTGTGTATATGTGTGATGTGTGTATGTGAGTGTGTCTGTGTGTGTGTGTGTGTGTGTGTATGTGTCTGTGTCTCTGTGTCTTCTCATGGATCCTGACCCTGTCCATTTTCAGACTTACAAACTCCTGATGGTTTTTGTTTCCTTTTGTATCATTGATAGTCTTAAAATGGGGTTATAAGAAGTCACAGGGGGAGATATATGAGTTAGCTACAGACCAACCAATCAGCTGAGAACTACTTATTTGTATGGACAGACCTGGCCACTGTATATGAAATTTCCTGGATATCTTGGTCAAGTTTTTAATTGCTTTGACTATCTTAATGTTATTCATCATTGTGTTATCTCTGACACACATGGGAACGGACATTTCTTGGGTTTCTTCTCTTAACACTCGCTAGTGCTGTATTTGGGGACTGAAAGGTATCTTCCCTCAAAAGTCACAATACAGAAAATCTTGACAGAGCCCACTTCTCACCATCCAGGCAGTATCTCTATTTATTATAAATATAGTTTAATTCCTCAGTTTTCACTTTACCCTCAAGGATGCCGTAGAGCACACCTTGTGGATAACAGGAAAGGTTCCCTAGAAGGCATGAAGGCATTTCTGGAGTAGCTCTGATTAGACTGTGCTTTGCTTTATCTGGAGTGACAACCTTGTGGAATCTGTGTATGTTGTTATGTAAGTACTCTAAACACTGAATGAAGAAAAGTTATTTTTATATTTAATGTGATGCTATTGTGAACAGATTTAATGCAAGCTTAAAAATCGTCAATCTCTTAAAGATATCTTTAATTTATTTAGTTGTATGTGCACAAAGCACATGCCAAGGCACATGAGTGCAGGTGAGAGCTAATTCTCACCTTCTACCGTGCATGTTCCAGGGACTGAACTCAGTTCCTCAGGCTTAGTGACAAGCGAGGAGCCATATCAATGGTCCTAGCAATTCTTTAATCTAATTTTTTAAAAAAGATAACCTTCTTAAAATGAAAAATTCAATAAACGATTTGACAATAATGAGACAATTGCTGTGTCCCTTCTATTATCTGCAGTCACTGATGACAACTTGATCGGTTTTCCCCTCTTCTCTTCAACGCTATGCGTGACTTTTCCAACCTTATGTGATCATCCTCACATCCACCCAGAAAAAGAAATAAAGATTCAGATGGCCCAGGCAGTTACCAGTTAACAATGCAGCGATGTCCTGGGAAACACCCTCTACATGGAGGATCTTGTTGTAGTCTCCAGTAAACCACAGACAGAGCTAAACTGAGCTATATGGGGCTCTGTCAAAGAAAAACAAGAAAAAAAAGAGAGGAAGAGAGAGGGGAGGAAGAGGGAGAAAGACAGAAAAAACCCATATGTGGAGGAAAAGCAGGCATTAGATGAACTGATATCTAAAATAAATAAGGAACACAAATAATTCAAGATCAAGCAAACCAGTAACCCGATTTGAAAGACAAAGGCCTAACTTGACATTCTTCTTTGATTTTTCTGGTTTTTGGTTTTGGTTTTGGTTTTTTGGTTTGGTTTGATTTGATTTGGTTTAGTTTTTGGCTTTCCAAGACAGTTTTTCTCTGTGTAGCTAGTCCTGGCTATTCTGGAACTCACTCTGTAGAACTGGCTGGGCTTGAACTCAGAGATCCACCTGCCTCTGCCTCCTGAGTCCTGAAATCAAAGGTGTGCACCATTATTACCCGATGAATGAATGTATTTTATTTTATTTGGGGGGGGGTTTTCGAGGCAGGGTTTCTCTGTGGCTTTGGAGGCTGTCCTGGAACTCGCTTGGTAGTTCAGGCTGGTCTCGAACTTACAGAGATCTGCCTGTCTCTGCCTCCCGAGTGCTGGGATTAAAGGCGTGCGCCACCAACGCCCGGCGAATGAATGTATTTTAATGTGGTGTATGTACACATGGAATACACAGAAACACACACACAGCACACTGAACTTCACAAATGTAGATCATTACTACTGGTCAATCTATAAAAACTACACACAGCCTTCACTCCACCGCACCCAGCCTGCTTTTGTGCGACATCTGTGTCCCTTCTTAAATTAACACTAGAAGGAGCTAACCCTTCCTGAGAGTCAGTTCTCCTGTTCATCTCTTTGAAAAGCACAGAGAAGATAGCACCAGTACATTCCTTTCAAACACACAACAGATGACTCATTGCTAGAGAATCTAACAACATGAGCAGAAAATGTCTTAAACGTGGGATGAATTTCTTATCGGTAACGTTTCATTTACTAGAGACAAACCACACAGAGCATCCAGCAAAACAAGGCAACAGAGACTGCAACAATTCACTGATACAACCAATATAAAATATGTACACCGCCTTTGTCTTTGGAGCTGAAACTATAAAGTGTATTCATAGTCAACTGAGCCGTGATTAACATTTCAGTGGAAAGGTCTCTCTGAGTCACTCTGGATTTATGGAATTGCCCTTACCAGCATTTCGTTTGAAGCTGTGTCTTGTGGCAGAGGAGATGTTGAAGCACATCATTCAGCTGAGGACTATTGTTCTGAACACAAGACCAGGCAGCCACGCAGTGCCAGAGCAGGTGGCTGACTTCATAGCCCCCCGCATCCGTCTTCAAACGCCCCTGAAACGACAACGTGGAGACACGTCTGCCAAGGCTGTTCTTTAACCCGCACAGACTTGAAAATACATTTCAAATATAAACAGCAAAATTAATATTCACTTATACTTCATGTTTTACTAATCGGGGTCATTTATAAGTATTCCTGTTAGTTATGCATAGTTGACATAAGCTTTTTATAATAAACATGTGTATTTATCATGTAAGTTTATATTTTTTACACAAATCGATGTGCTACAATTCCCAGATCCTTTGAAGGGATACTATTGGATGCATGATTCCCAGATCCTGTGTGTCTCCCTTCCTCACAGAAGCTGATCAAAAGGCAACAGGGAAAATTTAAACAAAGATCTAGTGACAAACTGGGCTCTGAGGTGTGGATTTGTCTACATTAACAACCAAACGCATGTCTTACACACACTGCCAGTACCTGTTAAGCAACTACTTTTCAAAGACTACCAATTCAGATGCAAGGAAGCTTTTGTCTGTTTTCTCCTAGTGTTCCCTGCCAGGTTCATTAAATAACTGCTCTGCTACAGTGATCGGCATTCAATGACAACATGGCACTCTCGTCTTTTTTTTTTTTTTTTTTGCCAAGGTAACGCCCTGTTCTATGCACTCAAATCACTAGCAGTTCATAGTTCATAGTGTTGAGAAATGCTTCAAGTCTAAAGGGCTCCATTGTCTTCAGTTATTATATAAAATATCAAGCTAATATAAAGATAGTCTTCATGTTGGGTCCTCTTTAAAAGCAAGGGGTTCAGCAGGGTGTTGGTGGCACATGCCTTTAATCCCAGCACTTGGGAGGCAGAGGCAGGTCGATCTCTGTGAGTTCGAAGCCAGCCTGGTCTACAAAGCAAGTTCCAGGACAGCATTCAAAACAATACAGGGAAACCCTGTCTCAAAAAAACAAAACAAAACCAAGAGGTTCATATAAAATTTCAAATTAAAGCCTCTCAAGTTTCTAGTAAGCTGTTCAGTTACGTTCTCTGGAAATGTATCTATTGTTTTCGTGACAGGGACAGTTAGACACTATATAGAACGGCTGGAGTCGAGGTCTACAGAAGTTTGCTGGCCCCAGGAGTGGTAATTCCGAAAAGAAACCATAGCCAAAGCCATGTCTGGAGGATTACAATATTCCACAGGGAAGCTGTCTTCTGAGATAATGCAAGGCATTGGACCGAGACATGCTGACTTTGGTAAATGCACACATAACTCAATTTTCTGCTTTGTGCTGGAGCCCATTCAAAAAGTAAAAGCCATATAAATGAAATTGTCTCAATGGCCCCACGTGTCTCAGCCACATGTCTGACAGTCCTCGAGTTTCAAGTCCACATAAACAGACATAGAGATCTGTTTTGAAACTTTGAGATGGCCTGGTCAATTAAATTAAAGTAATACTTTCCTAGATCATAGATACTATATGGCTACAAAGACTATTAAGTTAGGTAACATGTATATTTGTATTACATATAAATACATAAAATATATTGTGTATAGAATGTATAATATGAATATATATTTGTGCTAATACATGATAAATAAAACATTAGGAGGTAGGCTGTTTGACCAAAGCTTGTGACCCCACAACAAGAGAGGTTGAAGCAGGAGGATGACAAACTTGAGGCTACCTTTGGGAGTTAGAGGAAAATACCGTCTCAAAAAAGTAAATAAATAAACGTAATACAAAGATAAAGTTTGGGATTATGAGCAAGACCTATGATTTATTTCAGTTTTATAAGATATCACTTTCAAACCTCACGGAGAATGAGAAAAGGCAACCTCCGCTGTCAACACTCTGGTAACCTACCATGGGTTGGTCTGACACAGTCGGGCCATTTTGCTCCGCCCGATGTAAGCACAAACTATATGCCTTGGACAGTACTTCAGGACCATGATTCCTAAAAAGCCATTTAACAATTTCTTTTCTTAAGTACAGACAAAAGCAAAGCCACTGTGTCACCCACTGAATACCCAGCCGTAGAAGTGCCCCACTTTTCAACAGGAGAATCTAAAGAAACTGCTGCTCCTCAGGCCCCTCTCAGTCTTTGGAGGTCTAGATGCACTGAGCCCTCCCTTGCTGAAGCCATCCCACGGCTCCTCCCGGAAGCTGGGGCTCTTTCCTCTCTCCCTCCACCAAGGAATAAACCCCACTGTCTCTGGCAGACATCTGCTCCTCCTCTTGACTGTTGGCTTTAGGGCCTTGGCATTACCCAGAGAAAAGACTTAATGTGATGATGATAATCACGTGATTCAGCTCAGCACAGACCAGGAAAGAGCCCTCCTGACAATTACGACACGCTTTCACAAAGTCTGCTATCTTTACCCTGAATCCGTCTAATACAGCTGGGAGATAAACGCTATTCACAAACCAGAGCACAGAGATTAGCGAACGTTTAGAAGCATTGTGACACTCTGGCAGAATGATTATGTGTACATTGGATCTAGTAGAAATTAAGACAGACTTTATTTTTTTCCATTACCCCTTATTATTTCACTTTGCAAACTGCCGAGCTGCGATGGCTTTGAAACGGAAAAGGGGTGGGGCTGGGTGGCAAGAATGAGGACCTGAGTTCGGATCATCGGCAGTCAACGAAGTGGGGCACAGTAGTGTTCGCCAGTGACCTCAGCAAGTATGGGAGGTAGACAGAGGCCAGAAGATGCCGGGTGCTGACCCCCGGCTTCCACGCACACATGGACACACCCCTGCACACACGTGAGCGTGCACACAGACACAGGCACGTGCCCAAAAAAAGAGGAAAACATTGAGAGTGGCTGGACTGCGTGATACTGTAGTGAGCCCTGAACTCAGTGACGTCAGAGAATATTTCTCCATCCCCTTCTGCTTACCTGCCCACCTTCCTGCTTTCTGGTTTTTCTTTTCTTTTTTTCCCCCTATTTCCTTTTCTTTTACTGCTTCCGGTGATTTCTCCATCTCCCTCAGTTGCCGCCCAGCTTCGGGCTGTCACCTGCAGCTTGTACACCGTGGCATTTACAAACTATAGAACACGACCTCTGAGTGGCTGATGGAGTCTTTTCAACAGAGATGAGCTTGGAGGCATGAGCTCTGTTGTGGCTGCTCAGGTGACACATTTTGTCCTGTTTTCAGTCATTTTAGGGGTCAGTGACATTGCCATGAAAAGACCTCTTAATACAAATGTGTCAACCAAATACTAGCATGAATCACTGGCTACATTACGAAGCTGCTGTTAAGCATCATTTATACTTGGGACACAGCAGAGTGTCCCACTGTTAAGCATCATTTACACTCAGGACACAGCAGAGTGTCCCAGATTTCGGTCACGTCGTTTTTGCTAACCGAGTATGTGAAGACGGCTAATCACGTGAGAGTATCAAATTGGTGTATCTGCTACTTTTCAGGGAACTATTTGTACTTTACATAATACTACTTAATAAGGGGTCTACTCCATTTCAACTGAGTTTAAAATCCAAAGAACTATGCTATTATTGCGACGCAACAACTGTGCTTGGTAAATTCAACTCTGGCACTGTGCACAGGACAGAAATTCAATCCTGCAAGTGGGGCTCTACAATTGCAAAGCTAATGAAAGTGTACGACTTGTCCAAGTTGGTGGGAACTACGGGTCTGGATCACTTTAAAGGACATTAAAAGAAGAAACTGTGTCCAGTAGCAAGGAAAGGAAGTTTTCTATTTGTAGGCAAAACCAAAATCCACATTGCATGACTTATAGTATGTAAATTCTACAGGATTTTTTAAAGCAGTTCTAGCATTCATGGTGCAACAAATCCAGCAACAGCTTTTACTCCATCTCTATAAGCATTAAGCCTAAAATATTTTACAATGGACAGCATAGGCTGAGGACGGACCTTTTAGTATAATTGGAAGAGGGTGATGGATAGATCAATAAATCCTGGACTGTAACACAGCACCAATGAGGGCAGGAGGGAAGATGACCACTACTGCAGATTTTACCTTCTGTCGCCTTTTCTTTTCCTCTTTCATTCCCCAAAGTAAGGGGCGAAATGGGTATTGAATGGGCAGATGCTCAACTGAACTGGAGAGGCTGGCTTAGAAATACCACACTGGAGAAACTGGGTGGGAACTAGGGAACTTCAGGGCTTGCAATCACACCGTGAATCACTGCCGACTAGAGGAGCCGTGATTTAGGAGCGCTGTGGCTCCACTATCTTTTACAGTCTGTATGTTATGAAGTAATTGGAGAAGAAAAAGAAAGGCAATAAACCTGACAGCCCCAAATGCGTTATAGTCCCCTCAGAGAATCACACGGATGGAGCTGAAATAGAATTTAGGTCTTTTGTTCTACGGGGTGGAAATGGTGGAGAGAGACCGAGTGACTGCGCATGTCACTCTGGGCGGAGGCATTCGCTCCGTGAGCTGTCTGTAGATTTTGCCCCTTCTGGCAGCACATCTCTGCCACTTCCAAGGGTAAGTAGATTTGTTCAAGAGCACCAGCATGGAAACTAGCAGTGGCCTTCCCTGAGCCGAAGCATCTGTGTAGCATGCAGACCACACAGCACCAGATTTAAGAGATACAACACCCAGATCACCACGTCCCTTCGGTGTAGCCACAGTCTCGGCTGGAAGCCATTGTGAACTGCCTAGGCTAACTTGAATCCTTCGAAATATTTTCAGTGTTTGATGCCCATGGTTTTTGTCTTTTCATTCACAAAGTACAATTTTATTTATTCGTTAAGGCAGCTCTGATGGCGGCGATGGTGGTGATGGTGATTGTGATCACGGAAACGAATATTCTTTCTTTTTACAATGAGCAAATGTTGGTCTGGAAAAGCTGAACAGACATCTACGTCACACAGGCAGAGGTCAAGCAGGTCAAAACATGTTTTAAACTTTGAAACAAGTGCTTCTTTTTGCATGACACAACTTGTGTTCATTCCCAATTATAACCAAATGGTTCCAATTACTTAGCACACATCTCTCTTTATATAGATGGTTTACCGCCAACAAGCCAAGAGACAAACACTTAAGGCTTAAAAATTACAAACGTACCTAATAAAATGCATTTTCTCATCTGTTACATTTAGTTAATGTTTGAAAGGCACTAAAGGGTGTTTGAGAAGACTATGAGGTCACACATTCAAAAAGCTATTTTTAAAAGGAATTTTCTCAAATGTCCTTATCATTAGAACTTTCCAGGATGGGGAGAAGACCCAGCAGATGAGGACTGGCTACACAAGTGTGAGAACCAGGGGTGAATCCACAGCACACACGTAAAACCTGGGCCGCTCAGACATCCCACCTGAAACGCCAGCTCCCTGCAGTTGGAGACTGGCTCTCAGAGCAAGCTGGCTGGCTCGTCTAGCTGGGTGGAATGGACCATCGCAGGTTCAGGGAAAGACTGCATAAACCAAGAGAATCCAGAGCAATCAGAGAAGGCTCCAACAGCTCCCTCTGGCCTCCACACCCACGTACGCACACATGCATGCGCACTGCACATGTGCATCCCCACACACATGCATGCACACTGCATATATGCATTCCCACACACATGCATGCACACTGCACTTATGCATCCCCACACACATGCATGCGCACTGCACATATGCATCCCCACACACATGCATGCGCACTGCACATATGCATCCCCACACACATGCATGCACACTGCACATATGCATCCCCACACACATGCATGCACACTGCACATATGCATTCCCACACATGCATGCACACTGCACATATGCATCCCCACACACATGCATGCGCACTGCACATATGCATCCCCACACACATGCATGCGCACTGCATATATACATTCCCAAACACATGCATGCGCACTGCACATATGCATTCCCACACACATGCATGCGCACTGCACATATGTATTCCCACACACATGCATGCGCACTGCACACATGCATTCCCAAACACATGCATGCGCACTGCACATATGCATTCCCACACACATGCATGCGCACTGCCCATATGCATTCCCACACACATGCAAACATGAGTAAACCCATGCAGGCACACTCCCCGTACAAGCAAAAGGCATGAGTATTTTTCCTCTGTAGGAAGTTAAAAAGAATAAATTTTCCATTTAGAAGTTATAAAGATTAAAATAATGGAAAAAAATCCCTGTCTCACAGTTCTCACATTATTTTTCAGAAAATATTTAAGTAAAGGAAATAGATTATTACCAAAAAGGATGAAATTTTTCCTGTGGAAAAATATCTGTCTTATACACAATTACATGGCTCATTGAACTTGCATTTGCATGATTATCACTTATTGCATAGATTGTTAATAACATAAGTAAAAAAACTTTTGCACTAGAATTGTTTTAATCTCTCAATTTGAACTTTTTGAAGTGGGGAGGATCTCACCGTGTAGCTTTGGCCGGCCTTGAACTGACAGAGATTTGCCTACTTCTGCTTCCCTTGTGGTTAAAGGTGGGCACCATCAGGCCCAAACAATTTGAGAACTTTGGCAAGGTTTTGGTTGACATTAATGGCATACTAAGTGCTATTTCACATAGAACAGGAAGAACATGACGTTCCACATGTGTTCCATGGCCAGTCTATACATTCCTCCCCTTAGGAGGAATATACCATTATCTGTCGCTAAGTGACTGAGACAGGACCCATATGATAGAGGTGTCATGTCAGTGTGCCTCTCAGAGGAGTAACGGATCGCACTGAGGGCGCATTCCCCGTCTACCAATCTATGAAACAAGAATTGTGCATAAGCAAGAGTGTGCGCTAGTCCCCCTCCCATCTCCCCTCCCCCTCCCATCTCCCCTCCCCCTCCCCCTCCCATCTCCCTTTCCCCCCTCCCACTTCCTCCTCCCGTGCGCCCCCCGGCCCCCGCCCCCGCTGAGCTCAGCCTCAACAGTGCATGCATGCTGAATTGAGCAGAATTTTATCTTATAGCTATGCGACAGGACGCACCCACTGCCCCAGTTACCCACCAAGTCAGGAGACACGCCCTCCATTCCGTCTCCATTCCCCACGACTGACTCAGAGTGGAGTTCTCTTTTACATATAATTTCCGACGTTTTCAGAATGAACTGCACGTTTGAGAGGATGTTTGGATACTTCTGGAAGGATACCTCAGAGAAATAAAGTGCTGTTGGGGAGGAAAAAAATCATTGTTGGGAAATATATTTGTTACTACCTTGCATTGAGTTCCATTTGTCTTTTAGTTATTAAAGCATAATTATATTCAGTACGTCAGTGCCCTAACTAGTTAAAATTTATAATGGTATGTGTGTCCTCTGGTGGCAAAGAAGAAAACTACACCATAAATAATCACATCAGAGATTTTATAATTCAGGGCAGCTTTGCGCAATGGTTGTGATGTACAGTTAAATAATGTATTCTCCCTCTCTCGGCAGCCATTAACCTCGGGTGTCTCCTCCTCACTTAGGGGTAGAGCTTTGTGAGATTTTTCCCGGTGACCAGCCCAAAACATATACACGCATGAGCAACAGTAAATGGACTCAGCAAGCTCTCCTGACAGATTCAAAGGTACATGCGTGCAATTAAAGAAGAGGCCGTGAATTTGAAAAGGGGTCTGTAGAATTAGAGGGGGCGTAAGCACACTCGTCTATGAAACTCTTGAAAGTCCTTAGCTAAAACGTGCATGTGGCTTAACATACAATGTATATTATACTGTAATATATAATTATCTGTGATATGTTGTACATGTTAATGCATATTGTGTGGCTACTGTTCGGTTTTCCCCAGGGATGAGATCCCCGATAGATTTGTCCAGTCTCAAGTGTTCATCCCTACACTTATTTACATGTGAGCAACATTAAATGGATTCAGTGGGCTCTTATACGGGCTGTGACATCCCAGGACACCCGCGGGTGTTCTTAGCTATATCACCTGTATCCTACGCTTCGCTTTTTCTGGGACGGTCAAGTCGGCTGCCACATTTTTCCCAAATCTTGGCCATATTAGTCGCTACAAAAGCATTAACTTCCTCCTGGCCCCTCACGTTCCCACGCGTCCACCTAGAGCCAGTTAACTAACATCAACTTCTTTGCCCTAGGACATTCCCACTGCAGTCATTTGCCTCGTCAGTACCCATCCCTCCACAACCCCTTCCCTGCAGAGTATAAGCGGATGCGTATCACAATTGCTGAACGGCAGGCGGGGCAAGTGGCCTTTCTCCCCGGAGCGCCAATCAGAACAATTTAAATGACCAGGCTCTGCTTCACGCAGGGCTACCATATTCTGCAGTGCCACCAGACGGAGACGCCCAGTGCCCCCTCTCTCCCCATTCCAGCATCCCCGGTGCCAGCAGACCTCCTTTAGAGTATGAGAGCTCCGTTGCTTTACAGTCATGGTTACAAGCGAGGAGACTGAGTCTCGGTCGTCACCACACACTTGGGGAAGGAAATAACTTCTCACAGAAGGCTGAGGCGGTGGGGAGAAGAATGGGGAAGTCCAGGTGAGGGTCAAAGGATATAAGGTTTCAGTCAAGGTTAGACCCTGGACATCTACGGCACAGGTGGTGACCACAGTTCGTGAGAAAGCACATCACGTTGGGATTGCAAAGATACCGGGATCTTAAATGCTCTCACCACAAGAAATTCCAAGTTTCTGAGGGAAAACAAATACTGAAGAAAGGGAGCCATCTTTGCAGGCATTACTTTTCATGAAACATAAAACAGCTTACGCCCTTTATAGTGACAGTCATCTTAAGATGTAGCATAAAAGATTTATAAGCACAAAGATAAAAAAAAATACTCTACCGTATAGATATGGTTGCAGCCTAAGCAAATGTTGTTTAAAACTTTCTAAGTGACCGTGCAGGAAAAAAACAAACAGTCGTAAGAAGATCAAATAGCCAATCTGTCAAGAGAGAAAAGAGAAAAGCATTTTTGTGTTGCACCAATAAATGCTTAAAAACCATAGAGAAAGATAAACCACTTTATTATGACATTTACTTTTTGATAAAACAATTTTAAACTCGGTTGGTATTATGTGTTTTTGAAATAACTTTAAAACGTTTATGTCAAGGCCGAAACACCATTTCAGTCAAAAGACGAGCTTAAATAAATCCTGTCCACCCGATTTCCAACCAGCCCACACTGGATGCCGCTCCTTTCTGTACCCTTCAAAGCAACATTGTTTTCCAAATTGTACATCATAACCCTTAAGTAACTCATGAAATGAACTCATGGGGTTTTATATAGAAATAACTTACAGGAGGGGAGAAAATACCATGCTGTATTTCACAATTCCCTTTATTTGGGTATATTGGAGTCTGTATATTATGTATGTGTAGATCACAGTGAGTTACATATTTCTTCCTATGGCTTTTAACCAAAACAGTTTGAAACACAGACTTGGGGAATGATGGAAAATAGTCTGTTCTTCCTAGCATGCTGCAGGGAGCTCACTGCACAGTCTTAGTTCTGTGACCAAAAAAATACATCTATAGCTAAAAATGGGCAGTTTAACACAAGCTCCAGAAAGCGGAATACCTGCAGAAACACATAGCACACGATATTTCATACGATAATATGAAAAAAACGTAAAATCTAAAAGCAAATAGACTGTAATCTGTGTAAGTTACTAAATCAGGGAGCCCCATAAAATAACAGCAACAATTCCCATCAAATGTGCTTGAGAGAAAAACCAAATACTTCAACAGTGATGCCAAATATTAACAGAGATCTATGTTGAAAATACAACAAAGCAGGTGAGTCTGGCCAAGTGCCAAATGCTTCACCCAGCACTACTAAGGAAATAAAAATAAAAGCTGTTACAGGAATGTGAAGCTAGGATGCTCTCTCCGCACACCCCCTTTGCTCTCAAGTAAACACTGAGTCTCAGCTAGGGCTCTTATTGTACCGAAAACCTTTACTATTAAAACCAATTTGATGAAGAGCGATTGGCGTTAAGGAATTTTTCTGAAACTCATGAACACCAGCCCTATAGACCTCCACGTGAAAATAAAGTGTTTTCAGTGTGCGTGCAAGTGGTCTCTTTGTGCAGCTGATGTTAAGAACTTGAAGGTAAAGGTCAGGAAGTGAAAATCTACAGACCACGTGACAAGCAGCAGTGCATCCAACGGCACTCTTACAGACACAAGCTCCCGCAATCAAAGGCAAAGGCTGAGAAGCTAGTGGGGGGCAGGAATTTCATAAGGAACTGGTGATTGTAGCAAAAGGAGCAATAAAGTATACTCACACTGTATTATTCTCTAGTCAACCTTAGGACCCAGAGGGTGTCCTTAGTTACTACTACACCAAGGGGAAAAAACAGTTTAATATTCCATTTCTAATATTCTAAAGGCTTTTTATTGAAAATTGTCCCTTTCCCTATCTCTCAGGGCTCTGGGGGCTCCTCCATGTAACCTGCATTTGCCCTCTGTGGCCTGACAGCTCAGGCGCCGCCTCCCACGTGGATGGCTGCTTCCTAAGTGCCCTTTTCTCTCCTGCCCTCCCTTCCCTAACCTTTGCCTCTTCCGTGCTCTTCTTTCTGGTGTCCTCTCATTCCCTGGACACCTCTATCTGGCTGTGAGACAAATGCAGCATGGGAATCATCTTGTTTTGTATTTTCATATTTATATGGAAGCACGACACAAAATTTTTGTTTTGTTTTGTTTTGTTTTACGTAGTACCCTCACTATACTTCCAGAAGAGTGCTTCCAAAATCAAGTTAGAAAATAGGTAAAAGGAAAGGCTGTACACACACAATCTGGAATTGGGGCGATGTTCAGGAATCATGTATCACTTATCTGATCAGGCCTTAATTATTCCACTAAATGAGGAACAAAATGGCAGAGGAGGAGGCGGGGCTTCTCACAGCACTGCTGCCATAGCACTGAAGCGTGACTTAGGGGAAACTGCTGCTTTCCAACCAAAAGAATCTGCCTCTGAGAGGTGACATACCATTGCCTCATCGCTTACAGTCTAGTGCAGGTGGGATAGCCAATCCCCTGGCCGAGGAAGGGACAGCTCCTCAGGAAGGCAATGTTTACCTCAAGCCACGTTGAATAATTAACCCTATGGGATAATGTGTATGTCTGTTCATCCTGAAGGTTCAAGGAGAAAGACCACTGACCCAAACCATCATGACCAAATAATTCAAGCAATTAATTAAAGCAAGCCTTTTTTATTTGTACACATAGGCTGTCTCCCCCAAAAGTGAGGTTCAAGAGGTCAGCATCAGATGTGAGGAAGACAACGTGTTTGTAGCTCAGGGGTAGGGGTTTTCCAACATGAGGGATTTGGTGTGCAAAATAGGTTACAGGAGCAGAACATAAGCATAACAAGTTAGACAAAGGACAGCCCAAAACACAGACATGCTTGCAAGGAGGTCATAACAAGGTATCGTAACAACAAGGGGTCACAGAAATCTTTTGAAATGAAGGTGAAGTTGTGAGAGGTGGTTATACACAACTTTCTGAAACAAAGACACGGTTACCATTTCCTAGAGCAGGCAGTACAGAACCATCTGTAGCTAAAGTTACAGGTGGGGCACAGCCCAGTCCTTGAGAAACAGAATCAATCATGAACAGGAATGAACCTAGTTTGCCTTTTAAGCCTGAGACAAGGAAGGCAGGCCGATCGTGAAGACTCTGGGGTGGACACAGACACCACAAGCAGGTGCGCCTTCAGGGAAAGGGGCAGAATCGACAGGAAATGGACATCGAGGAGGCACAGAGCAAGGCCGCTGTCCCTGAGTCTCCAGTGGCCTCCCTCCACGTCTCGACTTGCATGTCTGCTAGAGGAAAAGTGATTATGTAATGCAGCCTCACCCCTTGATATATTGCTCCCGCATTAGATTAAATGCCAGGTCATTTAATTTTTAAAACACTTCCATAGCTTCTCATCTTCAGGTTGAGTAATTTTGCGTGGGTCAGAACCGTGCAAATTTGCAGCAGCTGTGAATGATCAGTGTGTGACTACATAGTTTGCACAGTGAAAAATGTGCAAGTATATGAGGCATGTCTACTTATTTATGCCTCGCAGTACATGGGCTATATAGTAGCCACCATTTTGAAAACAGGGGACGGGGAAAATTGTGTCACAGAGAATTTAAGTAACTTAGCATTTCAGCAGGAAAGGTTTTGAAAACCTAGACAGACGTTATTTGAAGTCCAGTGGACTTTTTCAGCCATGATCCCACATACTGGGTCAATTCTCAGATCATTCATTTAAAAGCTAGCTCTTTATTGTGTGAGCCAATACAAACCAGCCAGTGGAGATAAGCATGGCCTGTGGCCCTCAGCACCCTCCTGGCCTTTGCAGAATGTTCCTTATGAAACTCAAAGTCCATGGGAAGCCTCCCCTCTGCTATTTTCTTTTGACAGAGAACTGTATTAAAAGGCACTGTTACTGACGTGTGCAAGGATTCACTAAAGAAACCACCAAGATGGCTGATCCATGGTTGGTAAGAAGGTTCTGATTGTGTGTAAGAGAGGGAGGACATCTGAGGCATCTGGAAGAGACTACAGCAGAGAGAGAAAGAAGGATACTGGACTTTGCTGGGGTTATCTGTGAGAGAAGGGAGAACAGCAAGACTCACTGGGCAGGGGGAGAAACCTTGCTGTTATAAAGAGAGCAGGATTCTGGAACATCCTGGGGGCTAGCAGAGGATGAATGGGGGAGGACAGAGGGGCCAAGGATGCTAGCGTGGGCTTTGAAATGTATAGCAAGTACTTGTGAATAGGGGCTTGTCTTAGTTAGGGTTTCTGTTGGTATAAAGAGACACCACAACCACAGCAACTCTTACAAAGGAAAACATTTAACTGGGGCTGGCTACAGCTTCAGAGGCTGAGTCCATCATCACCATGGTGGCCTTCGGACAGACACGGTGCTAGAGAAGGAGCTGAGGGTTCTACACCTTGATCCACAGGCAGCAGCAGGAGACTGTGTCACTCTGAGTGAAGCTTGAGCGCATGAGACCTCAGAGCCCACCCCCCCACGGTGACACACTTCCTCCAACAAGGCCACACCTAATCCAACAAGGCCACACCTAATCCAACAAGGCCACACCTCCTAATAGTGCCATTACCTATGAGCCAAGCATTGAAACATACAAGTCTGAGGGGCCATAGCTGTTCAGACCACCACAATCCACCAGCCCTCATAACATAAAGGAAACTTGTAGCCATAACATAAAGGAGCTAGAGGCCAACATGGGCTTTGATATGCGACCATGGGTACATGTCCATTGAGAGCCATGTGTCCCTTCTGCCAGACACAAGGGAAATAACTCCTTTTGGTGGATGAGAACCCATTTCACAAGTCCCTGAAAAATGCCTGCTTAAATCTGACCTCCAGAGATCCTCTATAGTCCAGCTTGAGCTGAACCAAGACTATTATTTCTGGACATATGCACTTCCTGGGCCATAACAAGTGGAAATTTTTGGGGGCTCCACCAGAGTCATCATAGATTCATAGGGAACTTGGGCTCTCCTCTTGGAATGCTTATTAACATTAATGAAAGAATTAACAATGGACTTTAAACAGAAGCCTAAGGACATGGTGATATCCGGGCCCACATTGCCACCAAGGGACACGTCTGGTTCCGAGGCTCTACTGTGACCAGGGTCCGTGTGGATGTCCACGGCCCATCTTACCACCGAAGACCATGCAGATGCCCGTGACATGTCCACATGAAGTCATTTTGATGCCCAAGGGCATGCTGCTGCCAAGGGCCATGATGTAGGTGGACTGCACTGCTATCTGAGGCCATATCGATGTCTGTGGTCCAGGCAGACCTCTAGGGTCTTGCCTGAGCCCATGGTCCTACTGCAGCTGGGACCATGTTCATGATCTGTGGTCTCACCAGAACCAGCGTGAAGGCCCATGGCCCATGCTCCACTGATTCTGAAGAGCATGGAGGCTGCTTTTGCTGTGATATCGATGACTACTGACTCACAGTTGAGAAGGAGGGATATGGAAGGCTTCTATAACCCCTACCCCCACCCCAAGCCTCCACCCCAGAAAAACAGGTAACAGCCTAGACAGGAAGCCATCAAAGAGAACTCTTAAGATGTGTGATGGGGGTGCTGAGGTGTAGTTAGCTGCCCACAGCTGATGACTTCTGGCAGGGTGCAGGTGTCAAGGACTCAGTTCTCATTAAGGGTGAGGCCACTGAGTGTGACCATGCTCCCGTGAGTATATAGATAACATAAATTAGACATTTGTTATTCCTATTTCTATTTTTTACTTTTTGGGGGTGGGGGCAAGTCACAAGGGTGGGGGAAAGTAGACATGGGAGAACTGGAGAGTGAGATGGGGAGCGCGATGGCTTCCAGAGAGTCGATAAGAGTACTATGCTGGAAAAAGAAGAAAACGCTTATCAGTATCTTCAAAGGGACTCCGGTAGAAATGTCACTGACTATGTGATAAATCTGGAGAAATCTAACATCTGTGTGATGTTTTCTAAACTACAATGATGACATGCTCATGTAAATGGCAAACAGAATGTCTGTATTTGCTTACATGTCTTGCTTGACTTCTCCATCAGCACACAAGAATTCTTAGCATATAAATCCTGCATGTTTTATTAAACTTATATGCAGCACTCTGACATAATTGTAGTTTTAATCTTGGTCTTTGAATGACCGTTATTGTTGTGTAGAAACGGGATTACTTTCTTGTGTTCTACTAATTTGCTGTATGTACTAACACGTGTATTATGTTGGTTCATCAGGATTATCTACATAATCATAATGTCCACAAATACAAAAAATTACATCTTCTCTCTCAACCTGTGTATCTTTTATCTATGCCTCCTAGCTGATTTTAATAACTACAAGTTAACTGGCACCTTTATCATAACGTCAGGTAGCTGTGCATGACATTCATATTTGCATGGTCTCTATGACATTCATATTTGCATGGTCTCTATGACATTCATATTTGCATGGTCTCTATGACATTCATATTTGCATGGTCTCTTCTAGCCCAGTGGGTGGGTTTTAAGGCCAATACCCATGCTGTGGCTCTGTGGTATATTTTGAAATCTGGTACTGTGAAACCATCAGCATTAATTTTTTTGTGTGGGACTGCTTTGGCTATTTGGTGACTTTTGTGCTTCAAAATAAATTCTATAATTGCGTTTTTCTGATCTTGTAAAGATTTGTACTGCTTATTTTATGGGGATTGCATTGAATCTATGGATTACTTTTGTGAATAAAGCCATTTTTAATGATGAGCTGGCCCCCAAGTCTGTTCCCTTATTTGGCCACTCTTCCACTTGATGCTGACTACCAAGGTCCATCTGTCAAAGTATTGAAGTCCAGCAATCAAAAACCCCCTTTGACTACTCTAATTAACCCATCCAATAAAAATTAAATGCCTCATCCTAACACAGGGATTCCACTTTTGCCTTTATAAACCACCATTTTTCTTTGTGCCATGCCTGTCTCCTCTCTATCCAGAGGCCATCCTTTGCCCCTCTGGGACAAATACCCCTTCCCCCTTTCCTTTGTCCTCTATCTCCTGTTTTTGTCTCTTATTCCCTGACCTCTGTCCCTCTGGGGCAAATAAATCTCCATTTGCGTTGAGAACTTGGGACTTGAGGTATCTTGTGCCAACACTGGACTTTTCAATACTGTGAGTTAAGTTGGCATTGGAAGCTAGCCATATGGCCAAGCAATCACTTAATTGGGGTTGTGGGAGGCTTTAAAGAAAGGAAGCCAAACATACTAGAAGATCTTTAAACTGTGGACAGCATCTGAGGGAGAGACAGAGACAGAGGCATGATGGAGCCAGCCTGCCTCCATCTTAGACTTAAAAGTCATCTTACAATAAAAACAAATGAGGTTCCCTCCTGCTTATGATTAAAACTCTGTTTCTCAAGGAATGGGCTATGCCTCACCTGTAACCTTAACTACAAATGGTTCTGTACTGCCTGTTCCAGGAAATGGCAATTGTGTCTTTGTTTCAAAGAGTTGTTTATAACCATCTTGTAACCTTACCTTTGTTTCAAAAGATTCTTGTGACCACCTGTTGCTATGACCATCTTGCAATCACATCTCTGTTTTATGACTGACATGTTATGCTCATGTTTATCATAACCCCACCTATTTTTCACATCAAATACCCCATTTGGAAACCCCCTACCATGAGCCATAAAAACCTTGTCTTTCTCATATCCAATTCTTGAACCCCACTTTTGTGGGAGGCAGCCCATGTACACAAATTGTAAGCTTGCTTTAAATAATTGCTTGCTTTAATTAATTTGGCCAAAATGGTTTGGGTCAGTGGTGTTTCTCCTGAGTCTTTGGTGTTAACAATCGACATTTAACCTCTGATCTGTCCCCATATTTTCTATTGTAAAGATAATTATGTATCCATCATGAGCAGTATGTCAAAAACAAAATATAATTTTTAAAAAGTCATTATAACCTCACCATGCCAAGACAACTATTAACATGTTAATTCTTTTCTTCTATTCAGAAATTAGGTCTTTGCTTGGGCCATTTCTCATAAGTTTTCTAACATTTGGCCTTTTGCCCTAAAACTTTCAGAAAGCTCCAAGACTAGGGTCATGGGGATAAAATACAACTATCTCCCCAAAACTCCCTAATGGTGGGTAGATCCAGGAATATTCCCTCACAACCGAAGCTGTAAACTGCAGCCTCTGATCAATCAGTTTCACTTGTTTTACAGACAGGCTGCGTGCCTGCAGTCTAAAGGGACTCTTTCTAATCTCCCCTCTTTGTAATAATAGAACCATTATTTAAGCCTAATTTATTTGCAATAAAATCACTAGTTATTCTTGAATTTATTTTTTCATAATAAATTTTTCCCATGTCAACTGTGGCTATTACAAATACTGGAAACTTTTGACAAGGGACTTTGCAAAGCATAACCCGTATGATGAAGGCTTCCCACTGAGTCGCTCCAGAGTGACAGGCTTCTGACAGGACCACTCACCTCAAACTGAAAGATTAAGGCTCTTTCTCAGAAGTTTTAAACAAAGGCTCAGTGGTTAAGAGCATGTGTTGCTCTTGCAGAGGATTTGGGTTCAGTTCCCATCACCTACATGGAAGCTCACAACTAGATTCTACACACACACACACACACACACACACACACACACACACACAATGCCCATATATAGGGAAGTGGGGAGGAGAACATGATGGATCAGGAAGATCCAGTTGGGGGAAAACAAAGGAGAGTAAGGAAAGAGATGCCTTAATAGAGGGAACCAGTATGGGCTTAAGGAGAAACCTGGCACTAGGGAAATCTCTAGGAATCCACAAGGATGACCCCAGCTAAGAATCTAAGTAACAGTGGAGAGGCTACCTTAATTGCCCTTCCCCGATAATGAGATTGATGACTACCTTAAATGCCATCCCAGAGCCTTCATCCAGTAGCTGATGGAAGCAGAAGCAGAGACCCACAGCTAGGCACTGGGACGGACTCCTTGAGCCCAGTTGAAGACAGGGAGGAGCGATAAGCAAAGGGGTCGAGACCATGTTGGTGAAATTCACAGAAACAGCTGACTCAAGCAAATGGGAGCTCACTGACTCGACTGACAGCTGGGGAACCTGCATGAGGCTGAATTGGGTCCCCGTGAACGTGGGTGACAGTTGTGTGACTTGGCCAGGCTATGGGGCCACTGGCGGTGGAAGCAGCAATTAGCCATAGTGCGTGAACTAGCTTTTTGGAGGGAGGCCTTGTTCGGCCTAGATACAGGAGGGAGGGCCTTGGTCCTGTCCCAAGTGATGTGACAGACTTTGATGATTCCCCCATGGGAGGCCTCACCTTCTCTGAGGAGTGGATGGGGTATGGGGCCTGGAGATGGTGGGGGGAGTGGGAAGACAGGAGGGAGAAGGAACTGGGATTGGTATGTAAAATAAGATTGCTTTAAAAATAAATAAAGGAATTTGAAAATCTAACATTTCACAAAGAAAGTCCCATATACATAAAATAAAAGTAAATAAATCTTTTCTTTTTTTAACCCTTAAAAATCTGTGCATACTTAGGAAAACAATATGACAGTTTTTTAAATAATTATATCCTTAAGCAGTTCTTGAAATTCTATTTTCCTCAAACTGTTTCAACTTGGCTATGGAAGACAGCAAACTTCCAGTCATACACAAAGTTCAGGAAACTGTCCTCACAAATCCAATGCCCTGTTTGACCCTGAAGCAGACAGCACGGTAGCTTCCCATCGCTTGCATCTATAACAATTAAAACGCATTCAAAAATTAAAAAGGCATACCTTCACCAGTTTTATTTCAATCAAATATAAAAACCCCTTCAGGAATGCATCACAACAGAGCCGATATAAAACCGATTCCGCCAGAAAGAACAGGGCAGGGAGCTGATCGCAGCTGAAGGAAGCGTGGTCCAACGAGGCGTGGAGCATGTTCAAAGCTTCTGGAACGGCACCAACGCAAAATCGCATCACTGAAAAGCTGATCTTGCCTCTCTGCTTAGTATACTCACGTCTGCAATCCACTGTGTGTGTCCTTCGGGTTCTGGGGCTTCTGCTGTGCCCGTAAATGCTTTCTACCCAGTGAGAGTTACCCCAAACCTCAGCAGGCCTGGTGACTGGTTCACTCAATAGAACGCAGAAGAAATTGACAGTGGGTGATTGCCAAGGCCAAACCCCCAAAAGAAGCACAGCCTCTACCTAACCCTCCACCCCGCACCCCTCCCCCACCCCCCTCTTCTCCCCTTTTCCTTCCCCCCTCATCTCCCAGACAGCAGTGAGGCTGCTGGTTGGCAGTACACCACCAGACCTGCCTCCCACAAAGTCTGTTGAACACCGAACAGAGGCAGCGGTGTCACGATGCCAGGCCATAAAACCAGGTGAAGGAGGCTCCCAGGCAGTATCGCAAATCCCAGTTTACACAGGAAATACCCTGTGACCTTAGCAGTTAGCGTCCCCAAACTCATTTTACAAGGCATACACATGGCATTCAGTTTAACGAGAGAAGGAATTCCATCCCCTTAAAAATAACATTATTTCGTTTCCTTTTTAGATTGGGTAGAGGTTGCTTGAAAGGAGCCATATAAGTGGGAAATGATAAGTGAAAAGGGAATGAGCTTCCTGTCTTAAAGCAGAAAGAAAAAAGGCATGCCAAGGGCCAATGGCAAGACTATAAATTGCAAAAAAAAAAAAAAAACACCTTTGTTAGGGGACTGCTGTAGGCGGACTCATTCAACGACAGTATACAGTGATTTTTAAATTAATTACCAATTCTGGGGGAAGATATAAAGACTATAGTGAGAAAAAGCTTTTAAAAATTTTTTGTAATTAAAAAGCTTAATAGTCAAAGCCATGAGTGCAAAATTACAGAGGAACTTTCATAATGAAACATCATGAGATATTTTGATGGACAATTTACAAAAATTACTTCAAATTTACTAAAAGTTTACTTTAAATTCTCAAGTCATCCCCTTGTGGATCTGCAAACACTTGGGGCTCATCTGCAGTTGGGTCTGCTCACATACATACCGTCTTGGATCTCCCCTTTGCACTGAGCCAGATAGATGACCTCTGCCCACGCAGTCGGAAGATGCACGTGCTTCCCAGAGCCCAGCGCCTTGAGACCCAGCTTCCTCTGTGATGAATAAGCAAAAGATGAGCACAGCAGATGGAAATGTGTATCCCTTTGTTGGTTTGTTTGCTTTATTCTTAATCACATTCTGGAAGTCACTCTTCCACGCCAATGTTTTGTGATCAGAGTTAGAGAAAACGTTACATTTTTCTCTTGCGGAGAAGCTTCTCACCAAAATCATTTGGTTATAAACTTTAAATTTGATTAACATTAATATTTGAGCTCCACTTACTTACAAAGGTGGCTGTCTGTACCCACATCTTTACTTTTTCTTTCAACGTTATACAGCAGGTTAGCATTTACAAACTAAGAAAGGAAGTTTACAATATGGAGGGACCAGGGAGCAGACCCTTACCTTACATCTGACGAGGAGTTTCCTAGCTTGTTCCAACAATTCTTCCTTCTCTAATGGATTCTCTGTGTGGTTAAATTTCAATATGAACTCTTTGGTGATTGAAAACGACGACCTGCACAGAAAAGCAATAATGACGGCCATCACCTTTGAATTTTAATTAATCATCTTCTAGTGGCCAAGCATACCAATGTCCTAGGAAAAGTAATTTTCGCTTATAATGTTTCACAAACAAACAAGATCAGTAGAAGCAAAGGTCCCTAAGCAGACCACCCAGACTTACCGAAAAACAGATTCCTTTTCCAGAGGTGTTTGTTGTGTGAAAAACACTCCTGAAATGGATGCCAGCAGTCTTTGGGATATTTTCTTCACAGGCAAAATTGAGCACAGATTCAGTTACGCTGAAGGCTGGTTTATCTCCTCCCATAAATCAGTGTTGCTCCCATTTGAGCTAAATCTGTAGTGCCCCCCCCCCACGTGGGTTCATTCCAACTGTGACCGCAGTGAAGTGTCGAGGGAGAAGAAGATACACAGAGCCAAGTCAGCTCCAGTAGCCATGGTGACGCTGCGCGTAAGGGAGACGTCATTGCAGGGCTCCTGCAAGAAGAGGGCCAGCCCCTGGGGCCGGCCCCTCCACAAGATGGTTCCCATGACCACTGAGAGCTGGAGTAGAGGAAGCGGGGCGGGAGAGCCACGCGTGGTCAGACAAGCGATGAGGACGGCTCTCACTGGGACGGCAGCCGTGCAGGCAAAAGAGCAGATCACGTAGCATATGCACTTGACGTCAGACTGACCCAAGCAAGAGTTGCCAACTAGGCTTGAAGAAGGGAGTCGTGATTCAATTGACTCACTAAAAGGACAGAATGGCTACTCACTGAAGCCACCAAAACTGCTAGAGGCACGCACTTGACGTAGGGGTGGAAAAGAAGACCAGTATTAGGCAGGTGTTGAGATGACAACCGCCGGACAAACGTAGATGGAAGGAGAGTAGGCGTGTGGGTGTGCAAACTTCAATTACGGGGGGGGGGGCTCAAATGGGATGTGCCTACTTTGGCATCATCAATGCGTGTCAGTGTTGCTGGGTAAGTTTGCACGTCGTGACGATGTGTTCTGCCTCACCTGCCTAAGGTACCTTCTGATTGGTTTAACGAAGAGCTGCATGGCCAATAGGTAGGCAGGAGAGAATAGGCGGGACTTCCAGGAAGGAAGAGGAACTATGGGTTAGAATCTGGTGCGGCAGGGTGTCACCAGCGAGACATGGGATGTACAGAATGGAGGAGCGGTAAAGAGCCACGTGACAGAGTGTAGATGAAAAGAAACGGGCTAATTTGAGTTGTAAGAGTTAGTTGGGGGCAAGCCTAAGCTAAGGGCCAAGCTTTCATAATTAATAATAAGTCTCCATGTCATTTTCTGGGGGCTGGTGTTCCAAAGAAAGTCTTACTACATATCCATACCCTACTACATATCAAAACTTAGCCTCGGGAAGGAGAAGGGTCTCATGCAGAAAGATAAGAATTATTCTGAAGAGAAGTGGGAGGAACAAGTTGAGATCTTATCTAAATGACAATGAGCACAGCAATGAGGAACTCTGGGGACCTGTGGGAGTCTGTGGGCTCAACGCTGCTATCAAAACAACAGTGAGGTTAAGTCAGGCGCATTAGCATTTTGGAGGTGATGATGGGGAGATTGTGATCTAGAGGTCAGAATAGCCTATAAAGCAAGTTTCGGGGCTGCATACTGAGGTTTCCTCCCACCAATCTCAAAAAAAAAAAAATCTGGAAAATATTATGAAGTCGGTAGATTCATTGAATTATATTTTTGCAATCAAATAACTGTTAGAATTGTGCTTCTAAGAAAGAGCTGGAAAAATACAAATGTTTATTTATGGTTCACTGTATTTGGAGTTTACTAAATTAATTGTTCTGTGGAGTACAGAAAAAAAAACGAATAAAAATCTAATTTTTCCACTGAATAAATTATAATCTGTCTAGCAGAAAGATGTGCCAAAAAGTAATGCCAGTGCCACACAATCACAGACTGAGCGCCGATAATGATGACACTCTGTAAGCTGGGACCGCATACAGGTCGCCTGGAGAACAGTTAACGCACTGACTTGTTCTGTGGCGCCACCCTAAGCATCCCCTGTATCGGACACTAAGGTGTGCATTGAGACTACAGAGGTGGGGTGGACGTGCATCCTTGACCCCTGGAGCACTCGGAACATTACGGGAAGAGCTGCAGGGTTTGGGCTCACACACAGTCCACCAGAGCTGCCCTGATGAATGAGTGACTCCATGCTTACTTCCATCTCCCCACCTGGCTTTCTGCCTGCGAAAGAGCTGTAATTAGACACGGCGAAGACAGGCTTGAAGTTCTTTTCTTGTTGCCCTCTGGGATGGCTTTTTCTGATTGTTTCACACACACACAGCCCTCGGGACTTTTGTTTTATTGTGTTGTGTTGTTGTTTGCCATCTGGGAGCACCTACAGAAGAATCCAAAGTTGATTTCATTTTCCAACTTAGTGATGCAGAGCATCAACAGAGATAAATGCGGGTCCTTTGCTTACTTTTACGCTCTCCCTAGAAGCTGGTTTTTAAAGTATGAACCTGAGTGTGTGTTGATAGCCAATCAAACAGTTACTGGTTCGCCAGTACCCCACACTGCTGAACCATTTCCCGTGGATAGATTCGGGGCAACAAAGAGTCGTTTGCAGTTGTGCGGTGACCAGTGATTCCACCAAGCTTCAGTGGATAATTCCAACCCAACAGTCACACAAAGGACCCCCGTTAAAGCCAAAGGGCCACACGACAAAACCAAAACCACAACTCTGGGACAAGGGGCAGGTTGGAGGTGGTAGGGATGAGAGGGAGATAAGGGGAGGCTTTGGGGAAAGAGTAACCAGAATGCACTGTATAAGTGTAAGCAATGGTCAAGAACCAGTTTAATAATCAACAAGAAAGAAAATGTCAAGTACTGTTACTGAAGGCACCACGTGCTTGAGTCACAGAGCACGAAATGAAAGCTGGTGCTTGCCTGAAAGCTTTCTCCCCACTGACTAGCTTTCACAGCCCTGGAAAGTGCACCAGAGAAGAGAGGGGATCATGAATCTTAACCAGCTGGGAACCCTTCACTCTATGGTAATAATGGCTGGCGAGACAGGCCCACCAGAGCAACCACCCCCTGATCAGATTTAATCACTAATCCATAAGATAAAAACCAGATTTTACACTATCATTGGGCCAAGGGCAGGCCATAGGACCTATGGGTGATGCTACCACTTTTATTCATCATGTTAACCCAGCTTCTGATGACCTATTGCTATACCCATAAGATAACCCATTTCCCAACCCTCCTCTGTTAGCAGTAGAGAGTGATGACTGCAAAGACCCACAACCCATTGAGGTGCAGGGGATAAAGATGGCAAGAGTCGGGGTGGTGGATGACTACAGGGCAACAATGTCTTCTGGACACAGCAAGACAGCTAAACAGATGAGCTCACAATGGCAGTGACGGCACACACAAGATCCGTGCAGACTCCAGCCGGACCAAATCCCAGCACAGAGAGGAGGAGCGAGCATTAAGTCCCGGCCCTAGTGAGGGGTTACGGGCAAGTGATGGCTGCTGGAAGAGGGAGAGTCAGCTTTCTCTAACAGTGTAGCCCCTCATGGGTTGACCCTGCTCCACTGGAAGACCGCACATCCAAGAATCTATAGGCAGCACAAATTGGATTTGATGAGTTTCTTAAAAAGGAGAGAGAGAAAGAACACAAAGTTGGGTGGGTAGGGAAAAGGCGTGGTCCTGGGGTTATTTAGAGGAGGGGGTGAATATGAACAAAACGTGTCTTATGAAATTCTCACAGAACTAGTAAAAATGAGGAAAAATAAAATATAGGTGCTCACACAAATAAATCCTTCCTTTTAAAAGGGGGGAGGACTTATACAAACTGAATAGCTAGGTAATAATAATCAGTTTAATTATCGTTAAATATTTGCACACTCTTTGCGGGTATGTCTGTCTTAAGATTCTTTGCTATGCCGAGTGTGGGCACATATGAAATTTCCCTGTGTACACATGATCATATTTTTTCCTCTATGCTATAGGAATTTTCTCCTAGATGGGAGGTAGCCTGGGACCAGGTCTTGGGAGGTATTTAGATTGTGAGCTAGTGTTAGAATTTTATGTGTGATGTGATTGGAAGGCCGCACGGAGTTTAAAACGAGAGCACGAAAAGATGGCGTCTATATGCTGAAAAAGGAATCTGAGGCTGCTGTTTAGAGAGCAAGTGGGTGAGTGTAGAAACAGGAGCCCACGGGAGGCTGGGCACAGTGACAGGAATTAGATGAAGACGACATGAAGGGACAATGGGTGACAGATGAAGAGACTGTGCTTGGAAATATGAAATTACAAAGCACCAAGCTACGGTCTAGCTGTGAGACCACAGAAATATGCTCTGTGATTTACTATTGATACAGCCATCTAACATTCTTCCCCATGGCTTGAGTTTAAGTTCCTTTGTATTGTCATGTGCGTGTATGTGTGTCATTAATACATATTACTGATATATTAATTAGATATATTAAATTAATAGATGTAATTTGCTTAGTGAACATCTGGTGTTTACATGTGCTGATTGAAGTGTACAGAATGTACATTGTATTATGGAAAGGAAAAGAAGGCTTAAGTATCACACTGAAGTATATATCTTCAAAAGTTAAAAAGAAAAAAGAAAAAATACTATTTAAAACAAGCTGCAACTCAGCCAGGAAGTGGTGGCGCACGCCTTTAATCCAAGCACTCCAGAGGCAGAGGCTGGTGCATATCTGTGAATTCAAGGCCAGTCTGGTCTACAGACAGCCACGCTACACAAAACAGTGAAATCTTGCCTTAAAAAACAAAATAATTAATTAATTAACTAAAATATGAATAAGTTGCAACTCAAGGTCTTGGAGTTCTTTTGTAGTATCGGTCAGAATCATCTGTTGGTGTTTGCAATGTGTGTCTCTTCATAATAAAACAATACTTATGAACTTTAAACAGACTTCTCCTGATGCCAAACACAGGCACCCAAGTATACCCATACACAGGGTTTTTAATAAAAATTTAAATTTTATTTTC